TCACGGTTTTCCACATGCATAACAATTAGCTTTCTTTTTGTTGCCAATGGACTTTAGGTCCTTGTAATTTTTATTATGGACATTGGGAAAGAAACGCTTATTGTTAAATTCAGCAAGGTCTGTCTTAAATTGAACATTAATTTATTCATCTTTTTTTTCCCTAAGTCTATTCTCTTCTTCAATTGGAAGAGATCTTTGAAGTTAAACTAAATCAAAATCAACTTTCTTGTGTTTCATGTTCTTTTGGTACTCTATCCAAGATGGGGGTAACTTATGAATATAGAGCCTACTAGGAAATATTCATCAAAAGAAATACCACAATCTTTAAGTCATTGACTACAAGTTGCAACTCATATACTTGAGAGATAATAAGCTTGTTTTCAATGAATTTAAAATCTAAAAAGTTAGAGATAAAAAATCTTTTGTTACCAGACACTTCTGTGTACTTGGCTTCAAGTAGTTTCCGTTGCTCTCTTGTCGTGCCAATGGAAGCATACATATCATAGATCAGGTCCGCCAAGGCATTTAAGATATAACTCGTGCATATATAGTCGTCCTCCATCTATCTTGTATGATTGAGTCACTCGTCGATGGAGTCATCCGATAGTGGCAGCGGTGCAGCCATTGACTCGGTGACTATGTAAGCCACTTTGAGAGTGGTACGCAAAAAGAAACATTTTACTACTATCTCTTGAAATTCAGCCCATTGAAACGTTCAAGTTGAGTAAAATCGTGATTTATGACTTTCAAATAAGTCATGGCAGTCTCCTTTCTTTTACTCATAAAGTATTGTCTTGAATTGTTGGAGTTTGGTTAGGTGAAATGGGGGCAAAAAATTGTACAATTTAAAAAATTGGGAACTAGAACTATTCTTGTTTTGGGGGGCATGTAGGAGCGCTATCTCAAGATAATATTTGCCTCCTTTAGATATAGTATTTAATGTGCATAAAAAGGACAATTCGTCCTCAGGATATAGGAAAACAAAAAGGTCTTTTACAATATTCTTAAGCTCTATGCACTTGAGCTTGGAACCCACACACTCGACACTAGAGTCTTGATGTATTAGAGAGAGAAGTAGAGAAATTCAAGTAGAGAGCGAGAGTTCAATCCACTAGTTTGCTTATTGAAATTGCAGAGAATAGTCTATTGAGAGAGATGCAAGGGATGTGAAAGTGTGTATCTCGTATGGCAAAAAGACACATTTATGTAGAGCTACAAGGTGGCACATTTACTGTAGCAGTGGTGCCTGTGAAAGTGTGTATCTCGTATAGCACAAGGACACTTTTATATAGAGATACAAGGTGGCACGTTTACTGTAGCAGTGGTGCACCAATAGCTAAAACTTACATGCAGCCCCTTAAACTCACTTGATGGCTCTATATGACCCTTGGGTGACTTCCCATATATCAATGGGCTCTATATCAACGGTTATATGACCCTCGGGTGACACACATGAGCTGTGGGCTGGCTCTGTATGACCCTTGGGTGACTTCCTATATGTCAATGGGCCCTATATCAACGGTTATATGACCCTCAGGTGACACAAACGAGCTGGGCTCACAAAACGTTGCCCACGCGCGTGGGTGTGCAAGCACCTTCTTTCTCCTTTGTATTAGAAGTGTATTGTATGGGAATGTATGCTCTTAAATACAGCTCAAAAAACTCTGTCTTCTTCAATGTGGGACTCAAAGCCACATCTTTCTCTCTACAAAGGCAATTTAAGAAAAAACAATAAAACAAAAGTTATTTTGAAATACACTTAAATATTTTTCAAACCAAAAATACTAACATTTTCTAGAGCCCAAGGATTGGATATAGATTTAGAACAGGAGGTTTCGTTTGGAAGGTTTCAATCATGATGTTCTCTCATGATCAGGTTCTCAGTTCAACCAATTCTCCGAACTTTGATTTTGGCCTTGTATGAATGATGACACATCATTATTTATCCGCGGTTGATCCAACTCCTTCGATGAAAATCATTTTTTGAGAAATGGTCTTGAAAATGGGGAGATTTCTCAGAAACACAGACTGATATGATTTTATATTTTAAAAAGAAAATTAAAGTTTTTGTAAAAGTCAATTTTTAGGAGTGCATGTAGAAATGAGTCACCTTTTAAAAACCTATTTTTGAATTGGATTTTTGGACTTAATTTTTAAGAATATGTAATCTCTAACATGGAGATCATGAATATGAATAAATAAATAAAATTTTAAAATTATATATAATAATTATATTAATAAAAAAATTTAACCATTAGTTTCAATTGTTTTTAGATGGACCACCTATTTGCATCTATCTTTAGAATGGATGTTTTATATCTCAGGAACCGCAAATGTAGAAATGCCCTACTGCAAACAATTTTCCTTTTGAAAATGACCAATAGAGAGTTTCAAAACCAAATCAAGGTTGACAAAATGGAATTTGAAAAATAGAAAAGCTGAAGTTTTAAAACTTATAATTTTTTAAAAGTGAGATGAGCCCTATAGTTTTGCCCAACTGTGGCCCCTTTAGTGGAGACATAAGTTGAAATTTTTGTGGAGCTTAGTCTTCCCAAACTTTTGGTAAAATTTTATTTTTGAAATCGACATTGTCCAATATTTTTATAAAAAAGTGATGCAAATAAAATAGTGCTTTTTATTTTTTTATTTTCTATTTTTTAGGACTTAGAAAATATGTTATTTGGATTTTTAGTTCTCTTTAAGGGTATTTTTGTTTTTTTTTAACTCTAGAGATTTAAAGGGTAGAAATAAAACTTTAGCTTTTTTTTTAAAAAAGATAGATATAAATAGAGGTTAGCATTATTGGGTTGGTTAGGATAGGTTAGACTTATTTTTAAGAGATGAGAGAGAGAGAGAGAGAGAGAGAGAGAGAGAGAGAGAGAGAGAGAGAGAGAGAGAGAGAGAGAGTAGAGTAGTAGTAGTAGTAGTAGTAGTAGTAGTTAGTAGTAGTAGTTAGTTAGTAGTTAGTAGTAGTAGTAGTAGTAGTAGTAGTAGTAGTAGTAGTAGTAGTAGTAGTAG